AGACCAAAAGGCATGAGATCTGTTCCAGCCCTTAATCAGCATCTTTGAGGACTTGTAAGCAATTTTGTCATTTGACTCAGCTGTGAGGTAGGTCTCTGGAGCCCCAAGCCCTCTGTGACAGGGTGTGGGGCACTTTAATGATGTGGGAGAGAAAAGCTTATACATCACTACTGAGACATCTGGACCTGACCAAACTAAACCAGACCAGACCTCCTCGGCTATTCTGTCATTTAAGTACCGGTTCAAAGGTGGCACTCCTCCATCACAGGAGATGCAGCCTCCACAGATAATCAGTACGATGCTGCCTGAAGCCTCCTCAGAGGTGGTGTTCAGACTTGCCCGAGAACCATGGCACAGCATCAAGTTTAGCCTTGCCACGACCAGCTGAAGAGACCATGGCAGTCAAACATGAGCTGATGTGCCCAGATATTGGAAAAAGCTTACCTCTATAGACTTCTGTGGGTTCCAGCTATGCAACTGGAATGGCTCTTCAGAATAACAGCACGTTCTGCCCACCTAAGCTTGAGCCACAGAGGCAGAACTGAGATGGGCAACAAACTCCTTGTCATAAGGGAAACGATTGCAGTACCTGAAAACCACATCCTCTTCAGAATAATGGCACGTTGTGCCCACCTAAGCTTGAGCCACAGAGGCAGAACTGAGATGGGCAACAAACTCCTTGTCATAAGGGAAACGATTGCAGTACCCAAAAACCACATCTTCCAGTCCAGGTACTTCCAGAACAAATGGGCCTTAAATAACTATGGGGGAAAACAACTGAATCTACACCAAACCCAGCAAATCCTTCTCCAGACCTACGTGCACTCTAATGAAACTGTAACCCTGGTATTGCTTCCTGACTCGGGACATTCAGCTAGCGAGCAGAGAACACATCGTGACCTCATACACTGACATTACTGACATCCTGCCTGGCATGACCAGTAAGTTGCTACCCTGTACCTAAATTACCAGCACCAAGTCAGCAAGTGAAAATGCCAAGTCCAAAGTAACAGCTCCACCCAAGAGAAGTGGTATCATCTGTTTTTTGCCTACCCCAAAGATCATATCAGAGCTGACGTATCTTACTGCACGCTGAAGATCTGTCATGATTCTCCTGAACCAACCTTGTGGAACAAAGACGCAGTACTACATTAATACACAATTAATACGTGATTTCACGACAAGAGCTGTGGTGTCCAGCTTTCAACACCTCCTTCTGCTCCCAACCTACCTCCAACTTTCAGCATGGACTTGAACACTGACCTGAATCAGGGTTCCTTGTGATCTTCTAATTACAGCAAAAAGCTAAGCAGTGGTGCTTCCAGCTCCTGAGATGGCCACGTTACTGACTGGCATTGTTTGACAAAAGTCCTGGCTGCCTCGCTTCTGATGGGTGCAGTTCACAAAAGGAATGAGACTGGTCTGCATCCTTCCAGGCTCAGACCACCAGCTATCAGCTAGGTCCTCCTAAGATGCTCCAGTTCCAGCTCCTACCTACCTGCTGGATTTCTGAAGTGCTGTCTTGTTGTAGCAGTGTCCTACCACCTGCACAGAGATGAAGGTGTACCCTGGCTCCTGAACAACTTTCAGGTCCATCTGCAGAACCCTAATGACTCTTAGCACATCTATGTCTGCTTTAGCCATACATAAAATAGGACTATAAGCAGCCACCCCAGAAAAGAGCCTATCAATATCACAGAATCACAGAATTATCATGGTTGGAAGGGACCTCTGAGATCATCAAGTCCAACCACACACAAAAAAACCCCAAAAATAAATTAAAAACAGAACAAAAAAACAAAAAACTCTTACTGCACGCTGAAGATCTGTCATGATTTTCCTGAACCAACCTTGTGGAACAAAGATGCAGTACTACATTAATACACGATTAATACGTGATTTCACAGCAAGAGTTGTGGTGTCCAGCTTTTAACACCTCCTTCTGCTCCCAACCTACCTCCAACTTTCAGCATGGACTTGAACATTGACCTGAGTCAGGGTTCCTTGCGATCTTCTAATTACAGCAAAAAGCTAAGCAGTGGTGCTTCCAGCTCCTGAGATGGCCACGTTACTGACTAGCATTGTTTGACAAAGTCCTGGCTGCCTCACTTCTGATGGGTGCAGTTCACAAAAGGAATGAGACTGGTCTGCATCCTTCCAGGCTCAGACCACCAGCTATCAGCTAGGTCCTCCTAAGATGCTCGCAGTCTCCAGTTCCAGCTCCTACCTACCTGCTGGATTTCTGAAGTGCTGTCTTGTCATAGCAGTGTCCTACCACCTGCACAGAGATGAAGGTGTACCCTGGCTCCTAAACAACTTTCAGGTCCATTTGCAGAACCCTAGTGACTCTTAGCACATCTATGTCTGCTTTAGCCATACATAAAATAGGACTATAAGCAGCCACCCCAGAAAAGAGCCTATCAATATCACAGAATCACAGAATTATCATGGTTGGAAGGGACCTCTGAGATCATCAAGTCCAACCACACACAAAAAAACCCCAAAAATAAATTAAAAACAGAACAAAAAAACAAAAAACCCCCCAACAACACACACAACACCCCACCATATCACACCCACCCACAAACCAATAATCTTGGGCACTAGAGCATGCCCTGAAGAGCGTATCTGGCACCACTTAAAACGTACAATAGTTCAAAGCTGTGAAGTTTCAACTAGGCTCTTCCACTGGGGAGAAGTCTGTCTGCTGCCTGATGGTGTACAGCTGAACAGAGACACCAACTGCTGAACTGCTGATGAAACAGCTCATCTTCAGCACCCCTTGGTTCAACAGCCATGACTTGTGACTTGACCAGACCCAGAGCTTTCCTCAGGAAGTTGGAAAACCTCACCCTGAGGGGTGCAGAAACATCCCTGAAAGGGAGATGCCTGTAGTTTGGCTTCTTGCTCCTGACCAACCTGCTGAAGAACTCTGTATTCTGGCCAGTACTGCTCTAGCACACCCTTGCCAAGATGTGCCAGCCTCTTGCCACTGCAGCTGTTGCCTGCCCTGCCAAGACACCTGGCCCCTGGCTCTCCCTAGAGCTCCTCAGCTTGCTTGACCATAGCTCCCAGTCCTTGATGTGGCTTCTGGCTCCCAACCAGAAATGAGAGGATACTCTCCATGGTCAGAGCCACCCAAAGTCCAGTCCTTGAGAGAGCCCTAAACACTGAATGTCAGAGCCCCAAACACAGTGTTAATTCTCATCTGAAGGCCTCCACATAGAGCCATCCCATCTGGTGGCTTGGTGAAGGAAGGGATAAACTCTATTGCAGAAAAGGAACACCAGGCTCCTAGTGTAGTAAGACCACCAAGCAAGGGCCACCACATCAACCCACCCACTAACAAGGCTTTTAGTCATCTTCTAGAAGGATGAAGTACCCCTGCCCTCTGCCCTGCCTGCAGTTGTGCACAAGCTACCAACTTAGGAACAAAACCCGTACTTCTAGCCTTCATGCTTGAAACAACATAGGTTGGGAGGTTTTCTGGGAGCCTCTGGTCCAGCCCCACCACGTAACACCCAACTCAGCATCTTCAGCCACTCCTCCAGCACTGGGACAGGCGCTGCTGGAAACAGCACACCCAGGTAAAGGCAGGGCAGCTCTTCCCTTGGGTAACTTCTCCCACTCAAGCTGGGATCAGCCCTTCTCCTGCAGGAACTGGGTGGCAGGCAGCTGCAGCCAGGGTGGGGGCTGTGCCCCGCAGCAGGCAGGTACAGAAAGCAAGCCGTTAGCACAAGTCCTCTCTTGCCCAGGCCAGAAGCAAAGGCAGCAGCTCCAAGCGGCACTGAAGTTTCATTCTGCTGCCGCCTGGCATGATGGAGGAGGAGGACAGGAGGCTGCCCACATGGCTGCGGGGTGGGCAGTGGCTTCGTGCCAGGGCTGACCCAGGTTTCTGTACGGGTTTTTCCATGTGAGGTGTGTGACTCAGGCGCTGCCCTCGCCGCTCCCAGCCCCTGCCGAGCCTCTTCAGGCCCGGGCTGGCCCCTGCAGAGCGGCTCCCCGCCACACTCAGCTGGATCACCTTCCCACTTTGATGCTCTTAATGCTGGATGCTGGCTAAATGAGCCCCTGCAATAGCTTGGGAAAGGGAAAGACAGCCTCCCGCTGCACTCAGGGCAACTCCTTGTCTTGGCTCTGCAAGATGAAGGCACGGGGGAGAAGCCGGTCAGGCTCCGGCCAAAAATCCCAAAGGAGCAGGGCTGAGCGAAGACGGGCTTCCCGAGAGGTTAGCCCTTATCCAAAACACTCTTACCCACTCTAAACCCAAGGCCTGGAAGTCTGAATCCTTTAGTCTTAGCTGCTAGACAGCTGTCTGCAGCGCAGGAGAGCCCTTCTGCTACATGCTCACCAGTAATTAAGCTGTGCCCAGGGCAGACCAGGATTTGCATACCATTATACACTGCTGACAGACTGGAGCAGCCCAAGGTGATGTGCTGGGCAGGTGTTAGCATTAGCAAGGTGCTGGAGGGGAGCAGAGAGGCCTAATTCTACCTCTGGAGCACACAAACATTTGGGAGGTGCTGTGCCAGAAAGAGCTGCCTGGAAAAAAAGAAATCAAGGAAGCAAGAAACTGGCACCAACTGAGCCAAACCCAGCTCTCAGATCTCCTCCCTGATGCTTCTTCCCTTCCGGGCATCGCATCTGAGGCCATAAAAAAAATATCCCACAAGGACTAAGTTGAAGGCAAAGCACCCAGGGCAGCGCAGAGGACAGGCTTGGACTAGTTGCACTCTTCCACCCCACCAAAACTTGGGGCCAGCAAAGATTTTCAGGTGGGCTGGGGGGGGGACAGGGACATAATGACAACTTGCTGGAGACCACGACAGCTCTTTCCCCAAAGGATACCCCACCCCAATCACCTTCACAGTCTACAGCATGACCTCATGCCCATGTGAAGAGCAAATCTCAGCGCCCTTCCCTCCCCACTGTCCCATAGCAATCCTCCCGGAGCACCAGCAGCAGCACCCTCTGGAAGGAGGACACAGCCATCAAGACGGTTTGTCGAGACCATCAAATAATAATTTACTGTGATTCAATCTGTGGCTTTGTACAGTTGCCGGGTGGGAGGAGGCCAAAGGAGGAGGGGTTGGGGAAAGAAAAAAAAAGAAAAAAAAGTCGTTTGCCGCAGGCTTGGGTGAAGTGCGAGATAGTCCTTGGAGGGGCTCATGCTCCCCCTGTCCTCTTCCTCCTCCTCCTCCTCCTCTCCCCCTCCCCCTATACTTCTCCCCTGAATCCGTTTGCTTCTTCCTTCGCTTCACCTCTTGCCTTGCATTCTGCACAGTGGGAACCTCTCCAAGACACGGTCCAGTCAGCTGAAACCAGAAGAGGACACTCATTAGCACCCATTCGCTGTCAAAACCAGTGAGAGCTGTTTCCATGACCCACCCCTGAGTTTGGGTTGACCCTGCTAGTGGCTACAGAGGGAAAGCAAAGGGCTAATCAAGTTTTGGAGGTCTTGACCTAGCTCAGCAAAGCACCCGCAACAAGTGTGGAGAGAGGCTGAGCCTATCTCCAGGGCATCTCACCAGGCCTTCTGCTTCTTTCAAACCTCGTTGTGGGAAGGGGCACTGTTCAGTGAGATCTTCCTCCTCCAGGGATGATGGGAACCATAAAGTGAGTCCAGGGCAAATGCAGCCAAATCTACTTGGCCACACACCCATCCTCCTCCTCCCCAAAACCCCGCGTGTCCTTGCCTTTTGTGCCCTGACCTTCCTCTCTCTCTGGCCACTGCAGAATAAGCTGGGATGTCTGGTTTCTAGTTTCTGCTCGAGCAGGAAAAGATGTGAGCAACTCACAGGGCACGCTCTCTTAACAGATGACAGTGTTTCCAAGAGACTTCTTCCCACCCCTTCTTGCCCCTCTTTTTGAAGGCACTGCCCATGGCGGTGCTGGCCACCGGGCTGTGACGAGGACCAGGCTCCTGGCAGTCAGTCTAGGGGAGCAGCAGCATCCACCGAGCCCATGCTGTCAGCTGGGAGCCGGAGCAGGAAACAAGCCCTGAGCTCACATCCCCATCCAGAGGAAAAGCTACGGAACATCTGGAGGACCTGAACATCTGGAAAGCCTCCTCTAGCAATGATAAGTGTGCTGGGCACAGCACTCAGCGTGGCCCCCAGGAGACATTGCACGCCTCGGCTGGGAGCGGAGGGGTGGGGTGCTCGGGTGGTTTTTTTGCTCATAGGAAGCAAACACTGCCAGCGTTTCTTCTTTTTTTTTTTCTTTTTTTTTTTTTTTTTTTTTTTTCTTTTTCGGGGAAGAGCTCTGCTGCACTCACAGCCTTTGGCTCAAAAAGCCATGGAGGAAAACCAGCTGCCCACCTCCACCTTCAGCAAAGACCCTCTAGACATGATGCGCGTCTCTTTAGGACTCCAGCAGTTGTGCTAAGGAGTGAAGGGCCAGTTTGGGTGCTCAACAGACTCCCCAAAAAACAGTAAGAGTAATGTTTGTGCAGGCTTTTCTCCCACACCCCACTCCCAGGTGTCCCTAGATGTACATCTCCCGAGTGCACTCATCCCCAGTTGCCTCTCTCTCCACTTCTGCCATGGAAGGAGCTGGTTACACAGCCAGATGTTCCCAGGGGTTTGGCTTAAGGCCACCCAGCTCACACAGAGACACCAATAGAAGCTCTTCCTCACTGCTATCCAGTGGGATTGCAATGATTTAAATAAATTCATCATTAAAAAAAGAAAAAAAAAAAAACAACAAGGAAATAAGCAGCAGAAAAACAGGCAAATGAACACGGAGAATCTGAAAAACACTGTTTCTGGCTCCAGCACACACAATTTATAAAAGCAAAACAGCCCCCTTATGGCTAATTCTCAACATTGCATCAGTTCCAAATATCTTGGGGGAATAATAAGGGGAAAACTCTTCTGAGGAACACTGTACTCTCACAGTGAGACAGGTCTGCTCTGAAGCTTTAGGACAAGGCATCTTATGTGAGTGCATTAGGAGGCAATGCACTCACCCAGCCCTTCAGCTGAACTCTTCTCGGGCCAGCCTGGTGAATGTGCAGCGAGTTGCACACCTCCAACACCAGCTTAACTCCCTCTCAGAGGGGCAGCATGGGAAGGAGTTTTCCCAGGAAAAGCCATGACAATGCACATATTTATTTTATTCAATTCTGTAGAATTTTGTTCCAAAAAAAATAAGGGGGAAAAACAAACAGCCCTTTCCTCCTCCACACTTCTTCAGGAAAGGGGGAATTTTGACTTACTTATGTTTTCACAGAAAAATGTTATTTCAGTCCAAAAGGTGCTTCATTAAAAAATACCCGCTACTGAAATTGTTTCTGCTGCATTTGTTTGCAGACCAATGCATCTGCAGTCACCTCCTGCCCCGCTTCACCCCTTCTCCTGCTCCCCAAACTCACCGTAGTCACGATATCACACATTTACAGTTCATGCAGCCGGGGCCGCTCTCATCGGGGGGATTCAGCTTGCGCAGCTTGTGCTGACGGATCTCCCGCACCAAGGTGTAAAAGGCATCTTCAACGCCCTGGAAGAAAAGCATCGCTTGAAGTGGCGTCCCCCTTCAAGAGGGGACAGTGGAGAGAAGAGAGGGCTTTGCTTCCCAGCTAGGTGTCCCTAGTGCTGTCTTCCAGCAGTGCAGGATGCAGAGCTGAAGGCACAAAACCAAGCTGGGATGACGAACGGGGATCTTAGTGTGGCCCCCAAACACTGAGCAAAATTGAATGAGCAACTAGGAGGCCAAGGAGCTCTTAAGTCCTTGAAATTCATCAGCTTCCAGCAGCCTGCATGAGGTCTATCACCCAAGAGAAAAGCTACCACTAGACCACTGAAAGTATCGGCTGCTCCACTTCCACCTTTGTGCTCTGGGGGCCCGACACGGCCTTCCAGCACTGGCATAGTCTGCATGTAGGTCTGCCAAAATAGACCATGGATGAGGTTAGCCAAGTCCCCTGAGCTTAGCTGACCTGCAGTGACTGTGGGGCTTATTCCAGGGCCTTGGAGAAAGCCCTGAGAAAGCATCTTCCTTTCACTGTTACCAGAACATGAATTAGCACTTCTCCAGAATGGAGGCTCAAGCCCACACAGGGGAGGGAACATCCTGATGGAGCATTTAGCCTTGAGGAAGCAACTAACCCTGGCCCTTGCACCCATCTGTCTGCAAGGTGGAGTTGGCCCATTCCTGCCTCTCCAGGAACAGCACTGGAGAAGAGAAGAAAAGGAAGATTTTGTTTAAAACCCTCCTCCTACCTGTCTGGTTTTGGCAGATGTTTCTATGTAGGGGATCCCATAACTCCGGGCCAGGTCCTGCGCTTGCCGGGTCTCAACTGTCCGGGCTGGTAGGTCACATTTATTTCCCACCAGCACCATGGGAACATCATCGGAGTCTTTCACCCTCTTGATCTGCTCCCTGCAAGAGTAAGAGGTGCAAAAGTGAAGGGGGAAAAGGCATCCCCAACAGCTTCTTCATCAAGAATTGACAGCTGTGCTTTGGTCCTGCCAAGTGCCTTGTGTTGAACCTTCAGGAGAACATAAATGACCATGGCACATGAGTAAACAGCAAAATAGCTAGGGCATTTTTGGAATGAAAACTAAATATACTTCTGCTCTTTAAATGCAACTGTTCACAAAACACAACTTGAAATTATGACAATCTACCTTAAGTCATGAGCTTAAGATAGTTTAAGCTAAATAAAAATGAATACTTAAGCAGTTACCTGTGTAACTCCCAATATTTTAGGATGAAATAATCCCCCTCAATGGGAATAAAAAAAGAAAAAAAAAAAAATCAGCTGCAGTCAGAATTTGCTGAGCTGATAAACCAGCTTTTGGCAGCCGTAACCTTTTCTGCAGATGCACAGGCAGTACTTGCTTCCTTTCAGTTTAGTTCAGGTCACTCAAAGTTGAGAAACCAACTGGGAAGCAAAAAAGCTGTAATGCTTGCTTCTTCATTCCAACATCAGATTTAAAATTAGGTGGGCGAGGATGAGATCTACCACTTCTAAAAATCTTAAAGGCCATTATGACCACAAACAATCCATTCAATTCCCTCCTGATAGATAATAACTTCCTTTGCCTAATAAATCACTTAACTTCAGATGCAAAAAAACAGCTCCTTTTTTTTTTTTAATTGCTCAACCACCCAAAACATTTAACATGGTTTTATTTAACTAATAAAAGCATTATTTAAAATGCTGATTTCTGCATTTTAATTGACTTCAAATTTCCATCCAAAAGCAGCTGGACATGTATCACACAAAAAAATCAATCATCTTTTGTAATGTAGTAGAAGATAGAAATGAGGTCTGACTATATGTATGATATGCCATAAAGCCACTTACATGTTCCGTGTTACATCCTGATCAGCAAATGCAAGTACTAAATTTAGTGCACGGGCTACACTTAGCTGAAAAGAGATACCTCCTAATGGTTACTAACCAGAGAGAGCCAGCGTTTCTCTGGGGAATATTCTTTTAAAAGTGCAAACACAAAGAGCACAGACGAAATGAGATGAAAGCCAGTGATTTACACCATGATTAAAACCAGGGCTTGAAATTGAGCCATCCTGCGAGTGATTCACAGGGACCAGCCCCAGCACAAGGATGAATGCTGCTGGATCCCTCAGGTGCTTTAGGAAAATCCCATCCTTTGTCCTCCAGTTCAGCTAAAACAAGCCGAATTAGTCCAACCATACAGTTATTACACTGAACAAGCCTGCAAGCTGCAGACTGAGACATCTCGACAGCTCGGAGCAGCGCCTCTGACTGCGGTGCAAGGATGGCTGTGCCTGTGCTCAGAGCTACAGGATCACCTGGGACCCAGGTTTATAAGGTTTATAATGAGGGACTGGGGTACATGGTCTCTTGGTGGGCAATGGACAGAGTGGGGACAGGCAGAACCATCTCTTGCATGGTCTGCAAGTGCCTACCATCACAGCCAAGCCTCAAAAAAAAAGAAAAAAAAGGCATAAAGCAGAGAGGAGCCCTCCCTAAGCTTGCACCAGGGTAACCAGGTAACCAGGAACCACTTATTTACATCATCTCCTGGGCTCTCCAGCTCCGCAGAGGTGATGGCAGCAGTGGGGAGAAGCAGGATGAGTAGCCTGGGTGCAGCCAAAGCAGGACAGCACCGGGATGGGGTCCCTGCTCTGCCACCGCCCCCGCGGTGAGCATCCTCTTGGGCAAGTCTCCTCGATGGGGCTGAGACTCTCCTCCTGCTCCGTCTTTGCCCCAGTTGAAACTGAGCTCCAACGGGCCAGGACCACCTCTCCCTGCAAGCGTGAGGCTGGCAGACCACAGCCTCGCCACAAGAGCTGCCAGAGGGGGAAACAGCCCTCCTTGCCCTTCCCAGCCTCCCCTCCCAGCTCCCGGACCCAGCAGAAGTCGCTGAGATCGATTGCACTAACAAAGCAATTCCATTAATTAGGGAGGGAAGGGAGGGGGTCATAGAGGATCAGCTCTCTCTTTAGTCACCATAAACACTTAAACATTACATTACTGAGTCCCCAAAGGCCACAGGCAATCCCTTCGGATGGGTTTTATTGGAGTCACTGACATTAGCCGTCTGCTCCTTCTCTTCCCTGGGGAATGGCCACTTGAGCTAATTGTCTTTGCTGGCAGCCAGTGATTCCACCACGGGGCCTGATCTAAAAGGGAGGGCAGGAGGGTGCAGCAGCAAGGCCTCTCCTTCGCACAGGGTAAGAGGGAAGAGGCCCTTCCCAGGGTACCAACCTGTACTGGTGAATATCTTCAAAGGACTTGGTGTTGTTGATGGCGAAGACGCAGAGGAATCCTTCCCCCGTTCTCATGTACTGGTCTCTCATGGCACTGTACTCCTCTTGCCCTGCGGTATCCAAGATGTCTAACAAGCAGGTCTCTCCATCGATGACGACTTGCTTTCTGTAGGAATCCTGCAGGCCAGGAGAGGGAGAGAAAGGGAGGAGGATCCATTAAGGGAGGGCTTGGGTCTGGCCAAGTGCAGGGATGTAGCAAGAGCATCCCTGGGAAGATGCCAGGTCACGCTCTGCCTGGGTTTAGCTCCCATTAAATAGCTGATTTAAAAATGGGAGGGAAAGAAAAAAGAAGAGGTTGAAAAAAAATAATAAGGAAAAAGGGAGCAGCTGAGCAGGTTTCCCACTCCTCTGGCAGAGCCACAGAGAAGACAGCCCCTGGCTTGCTCTCCTCATTCCCAGCCCTGCCTCTGTCAGACCAGGGACAGCTTTGTCTCTACCATACTGCACAGCCCTCGATAACCATTTTCCTAAGCTTTATTTAGTCCTGACTAATGCCTTCTGCTGCCGCCCTGCCCAGGTGCTAGAAGGGGGCACCCAGGAAAGGCAGCTCCAGCTAGACAGGGCTTCCAGCCACTGTCTGCGATCTGCAGGCCCAGAAGGTGTTTAAAATCACCTGGAAATCCAGCACCTCCAACGCATCCCTGGTTGGGCACCAGAGGCAATATGCCACCAGTAAGGCTCCAAACTGGGCTTGATCATAAACCTCTTCTTCAAACACCAGAGGAAAAAAAGTATCACGCTGTGAGGAGGGTGTTTCCCACAACCTGTCTGTGCCCAGAGGGCTCCAGAAGAGGTAAGGACTACCCAGGCACATCCTTTGAAGTTGGGGGTTTTCCCTGCAACAGAGGCAATAGCAACTTACTGAAGATGTGTGAAGGCCTGGAAATCACCCAGGGCATCCCTCAAAAGGTTTCATTTCAAGGCAGGTTCCTCAAAGCACACTGTTCCTCCCTACCATGCCTCTCCTTCCTTGTGCCCAGTCTCATCAGCAGGGATGCTGTTGGGGCAGCCCCTGCACAGGGGAACAGCCTCATCCCTCTCCAGTAGTGGTCCCCTGGGTATGGTGCAGCATCTTCAACTCTCGGCAAGAGAAAGAAGCCAAAGGTATGAAAAAGGTGCAAGTCAGCAAAATGACCACGACGGCGCTTTGCAGCCACTCACAGAGCCTACAGCTGCAGTTTAAAATTAATTCAAATGGCTGCTGCTCTTCCAATGACCACAACAATGTTATCAGATGAGCTTTGCAGGTCTGCAGACAAACAGCCAACGCAGCAAAGGTCACCGACAGGACCAGCAGCGGCACGGAAAGGGAATGGGGCCAGCGCAGCCTTCACCCTTTGGTTCATTACTGTAACAACGTCATCTACTGAGGCTAATTAAAGTCTTTCTTCACCTTGCGGACACGGCTGAAATCAGAGGAGGTAAGATCTGCTCTGCCACGACCTTCTGAGCCGTGCCTTCCCAAAAAGGGGACTGCTGACCCACCAGGAATAAGCATGGAGTGATGGGCTGGCTTCCAGCCAACTCCTCTGAAGGCAACTGGCTGGCTGCCCTGAGGGATGCGCTCCCATTTCTAATCAATAATGTATCCAGAGCCTCCTTGGTGCAAGGTAGAAGAGCACTGATTCCACCTCTGGGGTCCCAGTGCCTGGCAAGGACCAGTAAAGGGGACCCCAGTGCTTGCTCTGCCCAGCAGAGCATCCTCTCGGCACATGTGTTCACAATTAATTGTCAAATTCCCAAATACAGGAGGTATCACCAGCAGACAGCACACCTATGAAGAAGCAATCCCACACCTTTGCTCAGGCTATCAACAGGCTGACCAAAAGGCCAGCCAGCTCACTAACAAAGCAAAGGCATTAGCAGTCTTGCAGAGGATGCTTTGCTTCCCCTGAAGGAAGGGGAGAAGCTCTCCCCACCCTTGCTTTGTGTCCAGCTTCACCCGAACCCCTCCAGGGTGCTTGGGATGCCATCCCTGCCACCCTGCCGAGTGACCTGGCTGCTGCTGCAGGGGTAGCTGCCACCAGCCCACATGCCCAGCCACCAGCATCCTGCAGCCTCAATGCTCCTCTGCAGTCCCCCACGCCCTACCCCAACCTTCTTGCACAAGAGAAAGGGGCTGAACCCAGCTGTGAAGTGCCAGGTGTCAAAAACAACATCTGCTTGGAGTTCAGACTCAGGATCCTGGATGGATGCTGGGAGCACCCAATGTGTGCTGGGGGACCAGCCAAGAGGTCCATTTGTTAAATGCTATGGTCAGGATATGACTAGACGCTCAGGAAGCCCGTTACTAGGTGACTGTTAAAAGCTGAAGAAGCTTCTCAGGACAGTCTGACTCTTTACTCCATCCCTGCTCACTCGCTGTAGGACACTGCCAGAGACATAAGTTTCCCTGGTGCCTTGGCCCTCCTGTTCCCAAAATAAAGGTCTTAAGGGTCCTCAGCAGCCCACGAGCAGGCGTACAAGTGTGTGCTGTAACAGGTCGGCCAGCACTGAGTTCCAAAGCCAGAGGTTTGCACCAGTGAATCGGGAGGGCAGGAGGGGAGCAGGCAGGCGTCAGTCAGGGTCTCTGCCCCAGAGAGGCCACAAACTCACTTCTGCTCCCTTCCTGCCCTGGGGAGCATCTTCTCAGTGCACCCTGACCTGCTCCTGCTTGCCTTGACAGCACAGCCTGTGCTTGATTCATTGAAGTGATGGGTAAAGCCTTCACTCTGTGCACGTATACATTTCATTTTTCCCTTCTATCCTGTTCATTTCAGCATTGCTGTGCTGTTTGTTAGCAGGCTGAACAGTCGAGAGTCAGCTTCTGGGCATGATCCAAAGCAGCTTAGTCACAGGAGGGTGGTTTGTTGGTCACATTCAGATGGCTGGCAGGTAACTCTGTGCATCCTAAATCCCCATCAAATTATGCATAATTGAAAGGAGTCACCCTGGAATGAGTGAGAAGATGGCCAGGGTGGGAGAGATGTGGAGCATGACCCAGGGAGCTGCAAAAAGGTATCAGAGCTGGTGGGACCTGCAGTTGGAAAAGCACCAGAGGTGAGAGGGATGAAGAGTGGCTCATGGCTACTTTAGAAAGAGAAGAGGAGGAGAAGAGCAGAGTGAGGCTGGGGGAAGCAGGGGAGGAGAGCAGGCGTCTCCCAGGGCGCAGCAGGAGTGGGCAGGGTGAGGAGGGTGTGCTGGGAAATGCCATGCAAGGTTTACATTCCCCACTGCCTGTTTACATGGAGAAAATTCCCTGGAGGGTACATACAGAGGGCAGGCAGCTGGAGACAAAAAAAAATAGGATGCCAAAACCCAATACATCACTGGTCAGAGCTGCCTCTGCCCACCCGAAGGGCCAAGAGAGGATTCATACATGCAGATGTCTCCCCAGGGAGGCTGCTCTCCATCAGCAGCTCTTTGCTGAAAACAACCTGGAATGGGTTTCTAAGAAAAGCATATGATGCTACTGGTGATGAGCACATGAGAGAGGAAGAGCCGGGGAAGAAGGCAACTGCATCCATAAGCAAGGTGCAGCAATGAGACTCGAGAGCCCTTAAATTAAATTCCAGTCTCTGCCGCGGACTTTCTAGGTGACCTTGGCCAAATGATGTAATAGCACGTGCTTTTAAGTGCTTTCTCTCTTTCCCATCTGTAGGATTGTAAGACTACTTCAGCCTTTCTACCAAGCCTTGTCTTGCTTGTTTATTTAAGTTGTAAGCTCTTCAGGGTGGGGACTACACATACAACACCTACCAGAATAGATTTCTGATCCCAGCTGGGGCCCTTTTAGCCATTATAATAATAATAACTGCAGCAACCACAGCTGCATTTATACACATCTGGAAGAGAATCCTTTAGGACTGCAGACAGGAAGGTTATTGTCCAAGAGGCATGACAGAGCTGTAATTTGCCTTCCCAGGGTAGACTTATTCCTCATGCAGAGCAGCAGCTGCTGCCCACATCTCCCCCGAATGAAGGTGTAAGTCACACAGGGTGTAATTAGCATCTCACCAGCAATGGTGAAAGCAGTTGGAAAATGGAATATGTTTTTAAAAAGCAAAAGAAAAAATAATAGTGTAATGGAGATCGAAGGCCAGACCACGCCTCTGCACAGCCTAGAGGAGCACAGGGTCCCTGCCTGCTTCTCCAGGCAGGGTGCTGAGCGAGACAGGTCACTGCTACCACTCACACCGACTGTGCCACCCATACATCAACCACTACCTCCTCAAGATGGAGCAGAGGCAACACTCTGGGAACCACAACATTTCAGCTGCTCAGCATGTCTCGCTCAAACGACAGGACACACATAATACTAGCAAGCTCTGACAAAACCCATTTCAGCGGTGAATCTCAAAATATCCTGCATGAGAAGTCAATATATTTACTCTGATTTCACAGGAGGAGAAATGGAAGCGCAGGCACAAAATGGCTCTTCAATCCCAAACATTTAACCCCTCCCTACACTGTCATCTCATCAGAAAGGAGGACTTCTGTGCTACCTCTCAGCCCCTGCCCAGCTCTGCCTGCTTTTGCTGTCTCCCTCACCATCTCTCTTCAGCAGACACCACTGTCCTTCTGTAGGAGGCACAAGCCCGTCATTGTGACCTTCGCATATGCACGTAGTAACTCAGTAACAGGAACGTCCCTGCTCAAGTTCAGAGTTGAGACCAAGCCAAACACACTCCGGGTTGGAGGCAAGGTAGAGAAGAGAAAGAGGAAAACACACAGAAAGAGAACCCATGCCCAGAACCACTTACCTCTATCGTGGGGTCATACTCGTCAACGAAATGGTTCTGAATGAGCTGTATCGTCAAAGCACTCTTTCCAACACCACCAGCTCCCACCACCACCAGCTTATATTCGGTCATCTTCCAGCCGACCCCAGCTCAGGACTTCCAGGAGCACCACCACCTGCAAGGAGAAACATGGCCACCATGTTAGGAGAGGGGGTCCCTCCCGATCAGCAGGGCTGAGCAGTCAGCCCCCCTTTTCTGCCTGGAAAGGCAGAGATCTGCAAAGCACAGCCTCATCCCTTGGGTACTGAGCATTCCTGATGCTTCCTGCACATCCCAGGAGCATCTAAGTGCTGCAAGGTGGAGACACTGAGTTCTGGGATCTGGCACGTAAGACGGAGACGCCAAATTCTGCAAGGCAGAGGTGAAGGGATGCATCCCTTCAAGTTTTAATGGTCTTTTAAGTTGCTTGACTTCAGTAGAGACTGAGGATGGGACAAGGTAAACCCACTTCACTGCAATTCTGTACCACCCCTGAGCCACCCCTCACTCCTTGGAGTGAAAATCAGTGAGCCATCATCAGGGATGCAACATGCACTTAACGTAGCTTTATAAAATTGTCCCTGAAATTGCCACCGCAGGGTATTCTGCTCCAGGACCACCCTGGTGAGCATGGTCTGGAAACAGGAAGATGGTGGGATGACTTGTGTGTCCCAAGGGTCAAGGGCTTTCTTACCACCTTCCTACCCAGCACACTGACTATCCTGGGAATTTGGTCAGAGAAAATTACACTTATTCCAGTCTGTCAACCTGTACTCTGCCTCCAGAATCCACTGTCTTTCTTTTGGTTTTGTGGTCTGATGCTCTGGGGTCTCAAACATGAGATAGCCTCACCTAAACCCATGAAACTTGGACCAGAAGTACAGCATGGAACTGCATCATCCAGAGCTACTTAACCTAATACTCTCCACTAGTAAGGAAGGTTACTTTAAAATGTGCAAAATAATCCACCAAACTGAATACAAAACTATGTTTATCCTGTGATATGCTGCAATCCTTCAGCCTGATGGTCTGAAGGCAAACTTTACACATTCCCCAAGCAAACCTCAAGAGGTAAGGGAGCGTTACTGATAAGAAAAAAAAAGTACAGGCTGTGTAAATCAAAAGTAAACCCTAAAGTAACTGATTTAAGAAGTCTGGTTTTCTGAAAGTGCTCAGCATTGACTCTAATTTGCCTTATCTCAAACTGGCGATCCAAATTCAAGAGAGAGATTTGAAAGCCTTGGCCAGCGTGGTCTGGATGTCAACGCCCACGGGAGCAGGTAAGATGTTCCAGCCACGCCAAATACACTGTTAGCTCCATGTCTTCACCCTCAAGGCTGCGTTAAACCTCAGATCACAGAGCTGGTTTGAGACGGTGGCACATCCACACCCTCCACCCATCCTCAAGCTAGCGATGCCTCCCACTGTGCTGCCATCACAAGAGGGAGGATCACTGCAGAAGGAGCACCCCTGCCCCCATGAGACAAAGCTGGCATGCCCCTCAGGGGAGAAAGAGATGCTCTATAGGATCACAGAATCATAGAATGGTTGGAGTTGGAAGGGACCTTAAAGGTCATCTAGTTCCAACACCCCTGCCATGGCAAGAGACACCTCCCACTAGACCAGGTTGATCAAAGCTTGTGAATGAGAGGCTGCTCCTATTTGTCTATAAAGGGCCCCCCACTGCAACGTCACCTGTCCCTGCCCTCCCTTTAATCCTGACCCACAAGCTCTAAGACTAGGTTGCTATCACAGAAGGTGCTGCTTGGGAATGATGATTAGGGTCAGCAGGGGCAAATCACACTTCTCCAACACCATGTACTTCCCATGGCCCTTCAGCAGGAGAAAATTCATCTCCGCACACCTCCTCCCTTCAACTTCTGCTCCAACTCCAGTGAGAAAGAGGAACTTCAATTCAGGAAGATTACAAAACCCCGAAGGTTTAAATAGAAATCCACCCTCATTGGGCTGCAACCCCTGCCCACTGAAAGTCACACCAGGGTCAGACACTCATCCTCGGCCACCATCTACAAGCTCTGGGAAAGCCACCCGAAACGCAGCAGGTAGTGGGAAGACGAGCTCACAGTTGGCCCGGACGGTCCCCAATCAGCACAGCCTGCAACGCCACTGCAGATTAGACCCCCTCTCCCCCCGGCAGTTGTATCACACCACCCTCCTCACACCACCCTCCTCCCCAGGTTCCCCAGCCCTGCTGCCCAGACTCTGGTGGCTGGTACAAACTGTGCCCACAAAGGCCACTCTAGACCCAGGCTGCATCTGACGCATTTGCTAACGCAGCAGAGATCTAATGGAAAGCAGGCCAGAACTTTCTGCTTTCAATCCCCACCTGACTGCAACCTTAAACCACTCAGACAGTTCAATCATCCACTCGAGCTGGGAGCCGTCAGACACAACCACCTCCTGCCAAAGCCCTCCTTCTGAGCCGCTGTCTCGGTAGCGGGAAGGCAAACAAAGCTCATGCCGTCCCCAGCATCCAGGATCCTAAAGGAGGGCAAGGCAGAGGGTGCAAAAGAGCAACCAGAGCACAAACACAATGCCAAGGAGGACCTCTGGTTGCTATGCCGCTCCTCACTGCTGGCAAAGCTGAAGGTCATTAAACACAGTGGAAAAGCAGTGATGGTGGGGGGAAAGGAGGTGCAAATACCAAGATACCTTAGGTCTATACCTACCTGAAAGTGTCACTGCTTTCTAAAAATGTGATGTGCCTCTGTCCTGGCAGCCAAGGAAGAGATGCAGGTTGAAAGCAAGGCTACAGGAAACAACCTAAGTGATCACACTTATTGATTGTGCGCACAATGCTCTGCTCCCATTAATGCCTGCCTTCACATATATGAACTTCTCACATACACTGCTTCTCAGGAACAAGAGAAATCCCCACCCCACACTTCTCATCACTCTCAGATGGGAAGAGACAATTACCATAAGGGACAGTGAAATGGGGACTGAGGAGCAAACACACACTGACTGTCTCCACCAACACTGCTGGTCAGAAAGGGATCACTCCTGCAGCAGAACCTCTTCCCAGCTGAACACAGAGGGGTTTTGAGGGTCTGAAGAAACTCTGCAACCAGCTCCCATCTTTCATTCAGAGCAGGGAGATCTGCAACCCCCTAGCATAACACACAGCAGCTGCAAATAAAGGCCCACAGTGGCCACAATGGACCTTGCTCTGCATCTGGTGCTGATGATGGAGCAGCTGCTGTGATGATGCTCAAGGGGAACCACACAACCACCCAGGTCTATGGAACTTGCTAAGGCAATGAGAAAAGCCTAGACCCAATCTGGGGAGAATACATGAGTCCTCAAGGAGGCAGTCATCCCTCGAGATCGCCCCAGTGTAAGGTATTGCTTGGCCTATCCCTTCAGAAGACCCCCGCCCCCCAGACCATACAGCCACACCAGCCTCCTGGTCCACACTGCAGCAGGAGGTGGTTACTCACAGCAGCTCAAGGGTCCTCCTCTGCTCTAAAACCCAGCTGAGCTGCTGAGCTCCACTGTGCAGCAGAGGCAGGAGAGATTCTGCAGCTTGCAGAGGATGGTGAGCCCAGCCCACCCAACTGCTTCATACCATCACTGCAAAATGTGTCCTAATGTAGAGCGAGAGCGTGGGGAATGATGGACAGCTCTGGGCGTGAGAGCTGCCTGAATTAATGTGTGCTAAAATCACTGTTCAGATTAGCTCGCTTCCTTTCCCAAAGGATCCATGATGCAAGCTCTTCGCAGGGAGCATGCAGACCCCGCCGCTCATCAGAGCACACAGAGCAAATGCCACAGGGAGCGAGAGCCTGGCCAAGGGCTGCAGGGAAAGCGGGGATTTCCATACGGCCAAGATTTGTTACAGAGCTGGGCAGCTGGTCTCATCCCTAAGTTGACCTTACCAACACCATCTCATAGCTCCCCATCACACTCTTTGCTCCTCAACACAGGAAGAGCAAGGCTGCTCATGGGTGCATGCACAGGTTTTGATGCAGGGGTGGCTGTTCCTCAATGCCACATGAACATCACCACCACCACCACATGGGCTGGTCCAACAGCCATCCCAAAGGCAATGTTTCTGGCTCTCCTAAAAAACAGAGACAAGGAAGAGAGAGTAGGGCTCCTGCCGGAGAGATGGTAACAGACACCCCAAGTTTTCACACTTAGTCTGGGGAGACACCAGGCAGAGGTCTACAGCCTGTTGGTTTTTGTGAAAGCTTCTCCTGATGTGAGGATTTCCAGAGGAGGATAAATAAGACTTTCTAAGAGTTTCTATTTCTCAGCAGCTAACACAGAGCCCAGACAGAGCTGACCACAAAATAACAGAAGGAAACATGAAAGCACAGCCTCCCAGTCCCACACTGAGCAGGAACAGAGCTTCTTCCATCCTCTGCAAGCTCTTCAAAATCTGAAAGCCTGACCCAGGTCGCCGTCTGGTGTTTTCCCTGCCTATCCAGATTTATCACCTCCGGAGCAGTCAACTGTTGCACCCCGCCAAAGCCACGCAGGCCTGTCCAACAGACAGCTGAGCGAGACGGTGAGGAGGAGAGCCTTTCAGGAGCACCATCCAGGAAGAGGAGGGCTGGGATCCATGTGCCAAGCCAACAGCCCCAGCGTGGAGCCGGAGCTGCTGCTGCTGTATTTCCTGACCTCGTGGATTTTCTCCTGTAGTGAGAGGGCTCCTGGCTCACGTTCAAAGCTGTCTAGGAAAGCCTCGCCGAGTGCTTCCGCCTGGCAGCAGCAGCTGCTCCCAGCCCAGTAGCTGAAGCCATGCAGCTCCAGCAAACAAGAAACATCTGCCAGCCTTGTGCAGGAAGCCAGGAGAGCAAGCACCCAACCCCAAGTGGGCACTAGCATCCTAGCTTTGACTTGCAGGGAGAGGATGAAGGTGCAGGTAACAGCAGAAGGCACATCTCCTCATCTTCTCCCCAGCCTGTGCTTGCAGGACAGCACGGAGGCTTTGCCTGCAGAAGTGAGGACCAAAATACTTGGCACAAGATTTCAGAGGGTTCAGACCTAAAGCAGGTGTAGGCATCAAGGTTACAGGTGCTACCCAGAGACCCAGCTGTGTCCTGCAAAGAACAACCTGACATTCTTCATGGTCCCTCTTCTTCAGCACAGAGCGTCATCTGCAGGGGG